GTACTGAGTCCAAGGACCCCAGCATAACCTCTTCTCTTCAACAACTCCGTCTTCCGAGGTTTCCAGGGAGGGGGACATCCCTACTTCCTCTGTTCCTTCAAAGGAGGCCCTCCTCCCATGTGCCGGGCACCCATGGCAGAGTCTGGAAAGTCTCAGGCCTTGCGGGGCTTCCGTTCCACGGGGAGGACAGGCAATATAAACAAATAATAGATAATTCGGTGCAGGAAGTGATAAGTTCTATGGAGCAAAACAGTTTGTTCCCTCAAGAGCAGTCACAGCCCCGCAACTGTGAGAAAACAGCCATCTCTCTAGAGCCTTCTCTGTACCAGGCTTAAAACCCGCAAGCTCCTTCAGCCATTCTGGACTCCTCTGGTTTCTAGATAACCACCCAAAAGGGGGCACAAGCCCCTCAGCGTATGGTCAGGCCAAGAAATGCCCCACACGATCTTAGAGCCCTAGCTCTGGTTCCCGGGTTTCTGTGGGTTTCCATTGGTTTCCACTAACACAGTCAGCTTTCCCACCTCCGTCCTTGGCAGCCCCTTCACACTCCTGACTCATCTCCAGCCTACAAGCCGTGAGGAGCCCCACATCTTTTCCTCATGAACTACTGCTAAGCCCCATCTCTCCCACCTTATTTTAAACTCAAGCGCCAGGATTTATATTTATCCTGGTAGTTTCATCTGGCGTGAGGCCGACTATCACTCAGCCTGCCAAGGCTGTCTTCCAGATCCCAGTCTGATATCCGAACTCTCTTCCAGCTGAGGTAGAAGTCTGATCACTCCTGTCGCTCAGGCAGAGCTGGGCTCAGCCTCCCGGGCACTCAAGAGGGGTCTCCGGCCAAGGGGACCTTGCTCTTTCACGTGGACTCTCAACGTGTGGCTGCCGAGGGGGCCACAACGCTCCTGGGTCATCAAGGTTAGCCATGTGGTACCTGAGAAAGCTTCATGTTCTGCTGGTCATTCTAGTAACTGATTTTAAAATTCCTTTGACATATTACAGATCAGAAGTTCCCACACCTATATGACCAGAAGTCCATGGGAACTTTTAATTTTTTTTTTTAAGATTTTATTTATTTATTTGAGAGAGAGCGAAAGCGAGAGAGATCACAGAGGGAGAGGGTGAGGCAGACTCGCCGCTAAGCGGGGAGCCCGATGCAGGGCTCATTCCCAGGACCCTGGCTGGGATCATGACCTGAGCAGAAGGCAGACACTTAACTGACTGAGCCACCCAGGTGTCCCTGTGTTGTTTTTTTTAGAGGTTATTGAATCTATATTGGTTCTTGCTGATCTCCACTGCCCTTTCTGAATGCCCATAGACAATGGCTTCCAGAAGTCTGCATTTCTGTGGCTCTTCGGCCAGATCCCCTCTGCATGGACTGGGACATGGCCCTGTAACCCTGGCATCTGGCCCAGAGAAAGTATCAATTCTTTAAACGATAGTTCAACAAACCTGGGGGTAGGGAAGGTAGGGAAGGGTGTCCAGGGGTCACCTTACTCAGAGTACCTTTCCTGCCCTGGTCTTCTACTCCATCATCCCACCATGGCTCCTTGATTCTCCAAGATGGGGAAGACAGGGCAGAAGGGGAATTGAGTTGGGGCTTCGTTCTCTGAGGTTCTAGCAGGTTCCATCTCAGAGAGGGATGAGGTGAGGCGGTGGGGCCCTGCCCTCAGGTACTACATTTAATGTGGCACTAACAAACCCAGCCATAAACATTGACAATTTATTCATGCACTATCTTAAAATAGAAATGAGAGCCAAGAAATCGACAACGAACAAAATATCAAATTGTAAATAGGATCAGTACTAGTGCCAAGCCATGTCAGAGCCTGAGGTAAAAGGAAAAATAAGTCACGGAAACAATGCAGAAAGAGGGAGAGTTCAACGCATTTATGACCCTGCTCCCTCCCTACCAGGCTGCTGGTTGGCTCTGGTCCCTCTTCAGTCCCCACTTCAAGGGCTAGTAGATGTGGCCCCTCCTCCTGGTTTGGGTCCCCACCCTGCCTGCCAGCTCCAGCTCCGAGCTCTCAGTGGCTCCCGCTCCTGCTGTTCCCAAAGCACTTTACCACCCCCTGCTGCTTTCCTTCTCTCTGCCCATTCCTGGGTAAACTGTCCCTGCATTGACCGCTCCCACTGGAAAGAAAGACAGGAAGGAGCGAAGGAGGGAAGGAAAGAAGGAAGGAAAGGTGGGAGGGAGAGAGGGAGGAAGGAAGGGCAGAGCAGGAAACAAATTTTTTTTAATTTCAAAAAAAAATTTTTTTTTAATTTTTAAAATATCCCAAGATAGAAAAAGTATTACATCCATGACAAAAGAATAGAATGCTTGGGGTGCCTGGGTGGCTCAGTGGGTTAAGCCTCTGCCTTCAACTCAGGTCATGATCTCAGGGTCCTCAGATCGAGTCCCTCATCGGGCTCTCTGCTCAGCGGGGAGCCTGCTTCTCCCTCTCTCTATGCCTGCCTCTCTGCCTCCTTGTGATCCCTCTCTGTCAAATAAATAAATAAAATCTTAAAAAAAAGAAAATAAGGCTGAAGTGTGCCTGGGTGTCTCAGTCAGTTAAGTGTCTGCCGACTGAGACCTCCATCACATTTCCTGGTCAGCAGAGAATCTGCTTCTCCCTCTCCCTCTGCCCCTCCCCCACTCATGTTGTGCTCTCTCGCTCTCTCTCAATTAAATCAATAAAATCTTAAAAGAAAGAAAGAAAGAAAATAAGATTGAGAAAATCTTCCAGAAAATGGACCACCACCACCACCACCACCAAGCAAGCTATGCAAACACACAGAGGCAAAAGGCATAGACAACAGGAGAGAGAAGGAAATTCAAGGATCAATCCTTGATATGGACATCTAATCAAGGGGAATTGTGGAAAGAAGAGAATAGGCAGAGAGAAGACTGTCAAAGAAATAAAACAAGAGGACTTTCCAGAACCGGTGAATGTAAGTCCTAGGTGGCAAGAGTGCAGCACATATCCAGTGCGGTGGGGAGAAAAAGAGCCAGAGGCAGGGCACATGACCGAACTTCCAGAATACTGGGGTTTACACCCTCAAACGCTTCCAGAGGTGGGGGGAGAGCAGCTATAAACAAAGAACCAGAGTAAGAAGGACAGAAAACCTCTCAACAATGACATTGGAAGCCAGGAGATAATGCCTGCAAACTTCTGAAGGAAAATTATTTTTAATCTAGAATTCTATATTCAGCCAGAATATCAATCAAGTATGAGGATAGAATAAAGGCATTTTCAGACATGCGAGCTCTCTAAAGAATTTTCCCTCCTGTGTAACCTTTTTCAGGAAGCTAAACAAACAGGGGGGAGAGGCAGGGAAGAGAGGACACAGGGTCCATGGAACAGGGTGCCCAACACAGAAGACAGACGAGGGGGGAGGGTTCCAGTGTCAGAGGAGAAGGAGGCCCCACCATGACCTCGGGGTGGTTGCGTGGGGCAGCAGCCAGGGTAGGTCAGAGCAGGACAACAGGAGAGAGGTTTCCATGGGCGGGGGGGGGGGGGGGGGGAAGAAGGGGATAAAAACAGACTGGTTGGACCACGCCAAAGTTCTATTTGAGGCCAGTGGGTATATAAGAATATATAACCATGGTAAGTACAGAAAACTAAGCAAAGGGGGTTTGAAGCAAGGATCCAGGAAAACCAAAAATATAAGAGAGTAAACAATGATATTACCCTGATTGGGTTAGTGGCGAAGAATATTTACATGATTATCATGATATAAAGCAGAGCATATGGAATTAACAAAAATATTGAGAGCAGGATGACACTCGAGGGAGTACATAAAAGACAAATCTTCATGTACACAACAGGTAGTCAACAGATAATGTCTAAATGAATTAATCAAGAGGCAGCAGCACAAGCAAATTACTTAGGAATACGGTGGTAACCGCCAGGAGAAAAGGCCTCCTCCAGTGGCGCCTCTGGAGCAAGGGGCGGGCAGGTGCAGAGGGGCGGGGCAGAGGGGCGGGCAGGTGCAGAGAGGCGGGGCGGTCTGCCGCGCTTTGTTCTCCGATCTTAGCAGCATTTGATCTTTTTTGACTACCTGCGTGCACTCCTTTGATGTAAAAAGATCTTTTTGAACATAAAGAAATGTACGCGAAGAAGCACATCCTGTTGTTGCTTCTCGTTTCATAGTTTTTCTGCGTCCTAGGAATTCAATCTCAGCCATAGGCGCCTATACACACGGCCAGGGGCACGCTCACACGTGTAGGGCCACACACATTCATCACTCACACACGCACAGACAGCCCACGGGCAGACACACAGGCAAACGTACGTAATACAGAAAACCCTCAGACACACGTGCAAACACACGCACACATGGTGATCGATTCACCCACAGACACGGAGTCCCCGCCAGGCTCCTGGAAAGAAAGCCCGCTGGGGAGGAGGGCCAGACACCGCAAGGACAGCGCCTCCTCTGGGCCTTGGCCCTCCTGGCCTCCCTTCACCACCACCCCCCGTCCTCCACATGCAACTGGCCCCAGGCAGAGGAGGTTCTCTGCCCCAAGCTCCACACTAATTGCCTTCTTTACTCTGTGCCCTGCCCGGAAGCTAAGCAGCCTGAGCCTCTGCAGCCATTAAACCTTTGGGGCTGCGCTGTCTGTAAATGGTGCAGAAATGCAAAGGGAGAGGGGCCTGAGATGGCAGCTGGGTGTGACTAGTAATGCCACCTTCATTCAGCTTTTAGTGGAGGCCACAGGCAGTGAAAAAGTCCAGTGCCAGGAGTCCTGTGCACAGGCTGTGTATCCTTGGGCAAGTCACTTCCCCTCTCTGGGTGCACGAGGAGGAAGGCAATCTATGAAGCTCTGAGATGCGAAGATTTTATGTCCCAGGCCATGCCCTGCTTTCATCCCCTCCCCTGGGATACCTTTCTCCATGCTGACATCCAAGGTCAATCCCAAAGAATATGTGATTTGTGCATCTGACAGGTACACATAGGGCACCTGGGAAGCCCCCCAATTCCACTTCCCTCCCCTTCCACGTTCCTACAGCACTTACCACCACCCTGGTCCTGTTATCAGGTAGTGTGTCAATGGCCAGGGTGCCCCCGCCTGGGTCTTGGCTCAGCTGGGTCCTGTCCGACTCCGACACCTGCCCAGGGCTCTCTCGGGCTCTCTGACTCCAACCCTGCGTGGTCCCCTTGGCAGCCCATCCAGAGCCTCGGCCTGCATCCTGACCTGGGAGGAGACAGAAAGCTGAGTCCCAGCAGTCAGAACAAAGGTCCACAGAGGGGACCAGCCCATGTACTCTACGGAGGCCCCAACCCCACGCCATCCCTGAGTGTGGGGATACCCCACATGCACTGAGAGCCTCGGGCCAGCTCCACGCCTCACACTCTGTGCACAGAACACCTCTAGTCCCTCACCCCGGCCCTCCACAGTAGATACGATGCTCTCCATTTTGCAGACAGGAATCAGGGGCTCACAGAGGTTAAAGATTGTCACACCTTGGGTTAGGGATGGAGGTAAGTTCCAAACCTCCAAAGAGGTAATTATGCTCAACCTCCAGGGCACGCTGGAATCCTCGGCAGAGCTTCAAAAATTCCTCCTGTCTGGGTCCCACCCCTGAAATGCTGATATAATTGTTCTGTAGTGTGGCCTGGGCATTAGGAGTCTTAAATGATCCCCAGGGGAGCTTTCTCCAAAGCCCTGAATCGAACTCTGTAGACAAGAGTGAGAACCATTGCTCTGGAACATTCCAAACCAGTTCCTTATTTCTCCATCATAGAATCTCACCTTCCAGGGGACTCCATGGGCGAGAAGCCTGAGAGTAGAGCTCTTTTAGTTCAGGGCTTCTCAACATTAGCACTGTGGACATTCTGGACTGGAGAATTCTTTGTTGTGGGGGCTATCCTGAGCCTTCTAGCAAGTCCAGCAGCATCCCAGCCTCTGTCCACTAGATACCAGTGGCATCTCCTCCCAGATGGTGCCGATCGAAGATGTCTCCGTGATGGGGACCACTGTTTAGTCCTGCGACTACCTCCAAGCCACTTGGGCAAGTCCCTTTCTCCCTAAAACATTGAGCTTCACCACTATTAAGGATGGCAAATAGGTTTCATCTCAAAAGTCCTCTCTAATAGATTAGCGACAGCCAGGAGCACTCTCTAATTGAGACAAACTCGGAAGCTCCATCTGCGTGTAGCAAGAAAGATTGTCATGATCAATTAACAATGTCTGCCAGGGCACAGGATTGGAAAGACGCTGCACACCGGCCGGTTAACAGCCATTCCAATCGTTCTCTTCTGTCTCCTCTAGGTCGTTAAGTGCATTCCAAATGTCACAGAAATCATGCTATTCCTTTTTTGGAAATATCTGTGCCCCCAAAGATGTGTCTTATATTGTCACACCTACTATGGATGTGTGTGTGGGATACAGATCACTGGAGAGGTGGATCTGGTATTTCCTGGGATATTCATCAATTCCAGGCCCACTCCACGTCGGACACCTTTCTCCACCTCTGCCTACCCTAACCCTCCCCAGAACTGCTAGATACAACCCTCTTTTCTAGAGCACCGATGATGTAACTACGTGCCTCTCTCCCTGGTAGACGAGTTCCCCCAGGACTGTCCCCATCTTCTGCAAATATGTATCCTCAGTGTCTAGCAAAGAGTAGGTGCTCAATCATTGTACAATTGAGGACACGATACTAGAGGTAAGTAACTCTTGGAAGTCAGCAAGGACAGAGGTTGAGACAAGGCTTGGCCAGCACCAGGCCTGGGGCTGGGGCCAGGACTCTGCTGTGGGGCCCTGGTTTGTCATTAGACATTTTATCCAATTAAGTCATTCTTGGCTGCTGGTGCCTGCTGGACCCTTGCCGGCCCCCTCTCACTTCTCTGCCCCTAATCGCAACCAGATGCTCTGGAGAAGGTGGGGAGAAGGGTGGTCCCCAGGCCCCTTCCCCAAGTTGCCCACTGGCTGAGATGGGCCTGCGCCCAGAACTGGGAAGGCAGTGTGCCCGAGGCTCAGAACCCAAGCCAGGGCTGTCTTGCCCCTCTCGGGTGGGGCCCACAGCTGCCTCTGGAGATAGAACCGTTTGTGCTGGGCTGCTTTGCCCGGCTCCCCGGGTCGTCTTGCAAGCAGCCCTTGAGCCTGGGCGAGAGCCAGAATAGGAAAGGAACGTGTACAGAGCGAGCAGAGGAGCTTAACAGGTCTGGAAGGGGGTGCGGAGGATCTGGAGGCATCACTATCCTGCAACGGAAACAGAAGGGTACTTGAAAAGTGGGGGTCCAAGGCCTGAGAGGAGGGCTGAAAAGGGGGACCCAACCAGCTGTGGGGTCAGGGAAGGGACACCTGCACCCACAGGCTGTGTGACCTTGGACCTGTCTGTTGACCTCTCTGAGCTTCCGTTTCCTCAGCATGAACACAGGGATGACAGTCATGCCCATAGCACAGGCTGCCATGAGCATCAAATTCAAATGTCAAATGAGAAGTCTTTATAATCAGAGAACTTGGGGCTCAGGTCAGAGGCAAAGTGTCCATGAAGGCAGGCAGGGAAGGGGATGGAGAGGGAAGTGGCCCAGGAATCCGCCCTACCCTGGCCAAGCCCTGAGTCTGACCCTCTCAACCCCACCCCCACCTCTGTCTCCCTGCCACCCCGCCCCCTCCCAGTCGGCTGGGACAGGACCTCACCCCCTCAGCCAACATAGCTGGTGGCTCACATGTGTGTTGCACGGCCCATGTGCCTGTGCACACACAGACTTGCCCCAAGGTCCTGGCCCTACTCCCCACACGCTCACACATTGTTGCCAACCTCTCCCCGTGCTTGGCCCCTCTCTGCTCTACCTTCTGTCCCTCCCAGCACCTGTTTTACACAGATGCATGCATGTGAGTGTAGCTGCCTGGGAGCCCCGGCCAGAAGTACCAGAAGAGCCCAGAGCACCCACTCCTGGGTCCCGTAGCCACCCGTCCGTTCACCCACGGCCCCAAGTCGCCTGCCGTCTAGTGGGCTGTCCGTGCCATAATAGGGAAAATAAAAAATGACAGCTAACTTTTCGAGAACGCTTAGTCGGTGCTAGCCCTCTTCCAAATGCTTGAAGCCCATGAATTCATTTACATCCCGCAGTAACCCCTTGGGATGGCTGCTAGGTTGGGTCTATTGTGCGAATTGGGAGGTGAGGCATGAAGGTGTCGTGGAATCTCCCAATGTCACACAATTAGTCCATGGCAGGACAGGTGCACATGGGCAGGCTGACTTCCAGGAGGGCTGACTTCAGGGTCTGCTCAGGCCATAGGGAGGGCAACAAGAGGGGACCAGGAGCCCTAAGCTGTTTCCTCAGGTGCAGGGACAGCCCGGGGAAGGCCTGGCATACAGGCTTGGCTCACTGGGGACCAACGTGCCCGATCTCAGGAGCCCTGTCTAGGAGACCATGTCCCCTGGCACAATGGGGGGCGCCCCAGGAGTGCCGCCCCAGACCCTCTGTGGGCCACTGTCCTGCTCTGGCACCAGAAGCCGTGGGCTGACTTCAGGAGGCCACGTCATGCCCAGCCCCAGGGCCTGGCAGAGCCACCCGCCACCCCCCCCCGCTTGCCCTTCCTGCCTCACAGCCACCAGGCAATCCAGGAGTCACTGCAGTCACCACCCTTAATGCCCTTGAGGTAATCTCCCGCACACCCAGGACAAACTTGATTCCCTCCCTCCCAGGCTTCCAGCTCACCCCTCAGCTCTCCAGCCGAAGACCCTTTGTGACCCCATCCCTGCTGTCTCCTCCAGCCTCCGGTCTCCCTAAAAAGCCCTCTCCAGGACCCAGCCTGGCTCACTCTGGCCACAGGGCCTCACACAGATGACTTTCCCAGCCAGGACCACTCTGCTCCATAAGTGAACCCTTCTGAGGAGCCGTTGTTCATCCTTCAAGTGCCATGAGATGGCACCTCTTTCCAAAGCATCCCCCGACATCTCTCCCCTGTCATCCCAAACGCTACCTGCACTGTCCCAGCCCTGATCCCCACACGTAGTTGCCATCTGTGCTTCTGCAGGCTCCCGGCTCCCGACGCAGAGCCAATGCTGGGTAAGCACGGATGGAGGACGGAGGGAAGGAGGGAGGGATCCAGGGAGGTAGGGTAGAAGGGGCAGGGAAGGGAGGGAAGGAGGGAGGGAGGGGGCAGGAGAGAGAAGGAGGAAAGGAAGGGAGGGAGGGAAGGAATCTTCAAAAGCCCCTGAGTACTTGAGGCCCACAGGCTGAGAACGCCCTTCCCCCCGGGGCACAGGCAGCAAGAAAAGAGCACAGGTTTGGAGTCGTACAAGCTCCGGGATGAACTCTGAGTCTAACGCTTACTGACTGTGACACTGGACAAATTACATAAGCTCTCTAAGCCTCTGTTTCCTTATCTGTAAAACGGGAATGATAAAACCTACACTTGTAGTTGTTTTTGAGTCCTTAACAAAATGATACGCGCAGAGCCCCCAGCAAAGTCCTCTGGCCTTCTTTCCTAGGGGCTTGAGAGAGTCTCCAGACCCTGAACTGGAATCCTGTGTCCTAGTTACAAAGCCCTCAGCGGCATCCTCTTGCAGGGAAACCCACTGAAGTTCTCACCGAGGACCCTCCCTTGGGGAGAGGGAGGGAGGCACAGGGAACTAGCCGGAAGGGACCACCAGGAAGAGAAGAGGAAAGGAGAGAAGAGCCTGGCTTTCTGTGAGTTTCTCTCAAAGGGAGAGTCTGGGGTCCGTGACCACCTCCTGATTTGCTCACTCACTCAGTACACACACATTGAGGCCCTACTGTGTGCCAGGCACTGCGCCGGGTGCCAGGGCGACAGTGAACAGGTGGACACAACCCCTGGGCCCCAGAAGATTCTAGTTGGAAAAGACACGTAAATGAAAGAATGAATGAATGAATGAAGTGGTGGATGAGACAATGTGACATGCTGATGAGTGCAGGCAAAAGGGTTGGGCTTTATTGCTCCCCTGGGCAGAGCCATCATGGTGGGCCTCTCTGAGGATGTGGCCCTTGAGCTAACCAACACCTGGACTTGAAGACCAGCGTCCCACAGCCTGGGTGTGTTGAGGGATGGGGCAGAATCACGGCTATAGGGACCCTAGACACGATCTGGTCCAACCCCACTTTATAGAAGAGGAAATCCAGGTGCAGAGAAAGGAGGAAGTTGCCAGGGTGGCCAGAGGGATAGATGTTGGGCCTGATCTCCTGACTCCCAGCCCAAAGACAAGCCCTCCAGCTGCTGCTTCTTTCTCTGTCTATTTTAGGCGGCTCCCGTTCCCCTTGGGCCAGAGCCTGCTGCCCCTGCCATGCCCCTTGCATCCAAAGGCCATCTTCCTGTCTGTCCATCTGACTGTCTATCAGCCTCTTGCGGTCTTTCCTCACCTCCAGACTATATCTTTGGCTTCTTCATCTTTCTCCTGCTCCTGTTCTAACGCTGGAAGGAGTTTCAAGGCTCCACCAAACCAACCAACCCATCAAGAGGGAGGGGAGATCTCAGTTCCCTCCTGAGGCTCCCCCGAACCCCTCCCCACCCCACCCCCACCCCAGAGAGCTTGGAGTCTTGGGGCTGGATGGCACTCCTTCACATCTAGCTCCCCGATGCCCTTTCCCCAGGCCCCAGGGCTCCACCACGGATCCCAGCCAGGCTGTCCCTCCTTGGCGGCCCTCCCCTAGAATGTCCTACCCCCACACACACATCTCTTCTTCCCAGAAGACACCCCTACCTCCGCCTCCACCCAGGACTTTCCTCCAGTGCAGCCAGGCCTGGTGGAAAAAAAAACAAAACAAAAAAAAAAAAACAACAAAAACGAAAAACACTGGACTGAGAGTCAGCAGCTGCCCCCTCTGGCTTCCCAAGCACTTCCTGAAGTCCAACCCACCTCTCCTGCCACAGAGAAAGTCCATTTTTTCCTGGCTGAGTCTCTGGCAAAGCCCAGAAGACAGGGTGTCCTCGACTTAGAGCTTTGATTCAAGTCTCTGCCTGCCCTTCTCTTTCTGGCCTCCCCAGGCGTCTACTACCCCAACCCGACTCTGAAGAGACAGCTTTCAGCCAGGCTCCAGGCTTGCCACCTCCCTCCACCCCCCAGCACAGGCTCCTTATCTCCCAATTCCCTTTCCCCAAACCTCTCTGTGGTTCTCCCAACTCAGTCAGGGGTCCAGAGCCCTCCCTCATCATCCTAGTCACATCCTGAGTTCAGAAGGTCTCACCAAGTTTGGGGTTGCAGAGGACCTCAAAAACTGACCTGGCCAACCTCTCCTTTTCATATAGATTTTTTCAATTGCCAGTTACCCACATATATCATAACAAATCTGAAAAGGAAAGACAATCCTGAATAGGAAAAAAAAAAAAAAAAGAATCTTTCATAATCCCACCAAGAGTCAAAGATTTTGCTCACAGCTCACTTTAGAAGTGGCGAAATAGGCCCAGAGAAGGAAAGTAACTTGCTCAAGGTCACACAGCAAGTGAGATGTGGGGACAAGAAGCCAAGTCTCCGGCCCTTCTCTGTGTGGTCTCCCTGAAAACTGGTGCTTCTGTACCACCGGCCTTTTGCCACACCAACTTCCACTGCTCTCTGCCTGCATTTCCACCACCATCACCCTTCCCTACCCTCCTTCTCCACAGGGACCCAGGCCTGTCTCGTCTACACACAAGTCCATTGAAGTCAAGAACACAGTCACAGATGCTGTGCCTGGGGCTAGCACACCCCAGAGACACAGCAGCCCAGCTACAGCATCTCCCAGGACAAGCCCATGACCCTGTTCCATCCCATTTAAGGGACACCTATGTCCCCGAGGCATAAAGTTCTATCTCCTCAATTCTTGCTGTCAAGAGGCTAGACTGCAAATTACCCACCTCCCAACCCCAGAGAAGTCTGGGGGCCTGAGGAGATAGGAAGGTAATATAAAATTACATGCTGAACAATGTTTTTTTTTTATAATACGAGAGGCTCAAGGTAGACCTCAGAAAGGACTTCCAGGTGGGAGAGATGATTGTGGAGAACTAGTGTAGGGAAGAGGAGTGTGCCAAGAGGAGCCCCTGCTCCCCCCCCCATCCAGAGCCAGAGCAGCTGATGGCCAAAGGCCACCAGGACAGCAGAGCGGGAGTGACAGGAGGGTCCTGGAGACTGGGAAATGGGGGAGCAGCAAGTTGCTTTTCCTGAGCCCCAGAGGGTTCTCCAGGCTCCAAACAGGGAGAGGAAGGCAGTGGGACAGGCTGCTACAGAGCTTCCTCTAGGAGAGATGCTGGGTCTCCACCATCCCTCTGGCTGCTCCCACCCAGCCCCCAAATGTGAAATGGATTCAGACCTAACCTGGGTCAGCTTGGGGCTGGGGTGGGACCTGGGGGGTGGGAAGAGAAGGAGGTGGCAAAGCTGGGGCAGGAGGCACCCCATACTCTCCGTCTCATCAGAATTCAGCTTCCCTCAGTGTGACGAGGGGTCCCTATGACTCCCCTACCGTCCTCTTTGGGGCCAGAGCCCATTGCCTTATGTAGACCCCTCTACTGGGGTCCCTCTGGTGTCCTTCCAGGAGGGAAGGAGAGGCGAGGGGCATCAGTATCTGATGCCTCCACCCTCACTCGCACACCCGATGTGTTTAAGAAAGTGGGTCCCTGTCCACCTTTCACAACGCACGGAGCTCCTGGCCCTCCGCGGACAGTCCCCCCACCCACCCGACAACGCGGGCCGGTGGGTACTTGGCCTTGCCCACGCCCGCCTGCCTGCTCCCTCCCCGCCCCCCGCCCACCCCGACCGACTCCGGCCAGTCCTACCTGCTCCGGGCGCGGGGCTCAGCGCCCGGGCAGCCTCCCTGAACACCAGCACCAGGAGCCAGAGCTCTGCCCGCATGGTGGGTGCCAGGACCCGCCCCCGGCCCGCTGCGGGCCGCGGCCCCGGACAAGGGAGGGGCCGGGCTCAGGCGAGGCAGTCCCGGGGGCTGGCGCGCCGAGGGGTGGGCGGCGAGGAGGCGGCGGAGCTCGGGGCCCGGCGGGGCGGCGAGAGAGGCGCGGGCGCGGGCCGGCGGCGAGCGAGCAGAGCTGCGGCCTCCCGGAGTGCGGACGGGGAGGGGGCGGGGCGGGGGGGCGCGGCGCCTCCCGAGCGCTCCCAGAGTTTTCCCCCGTCCTCCCAGCCCTCCCGGAGCGCTCCCACCGCGGAATTGGAGAGGGGTGGCTGGGGGCGGAGTAGGGGACAGGGCGGGGGACCCTGGGCTGGGAGAAGCGGCCCCCCACCCCGCACCTTAGCTCCTGCCTCCCTTCCCCTCCTCAGCCCCCCTCCCCGCGGAAAGCCGCTGAGACAAGACCGTGGGGGGGGGGGTGCACACCCCAGGAAGGGACAGGCGCCCCTTTCCTCGGGCGGTGCACTCCTGCCATACGCACCCCCTCCTCCAGCTCTACCAGGCTTTCCGACTTTCTGGGCTGTTCCTCAGAGTTCTGTGGGTTTCTGATGCCCATCCCCACCCCAGGAATCTCCCCTTGCAGCACAGACCACCCCCGCCCCAGCTTCTCTCACCAACAGAGGCCTGAATGCCACTCCCCTCCCCGGGGCTCCTCTCCCTTTTCCCCATCACCGCTCCCCCCTCCTCCCGTTCCCAGCACCGTCTTTCCCATCAGCCTGGTGGACACCGTGGTAGAGGGCAGCCCGGACCTCCCCTTAACCCCAGAAGGTAACCGAGGCCACCTTTCTCTCTGGGGACCCCAGGCCTCTTCAGGGTCCCAGTCAATCCTCAAAGCCAGTCTATCCCCCTCCCCCCAGCACGAAGACATCTCACCCCACCTGCCACCACCTTATGACAGACTCTGGGGAATAGATCACCTTTTTTTTTTTCCCCTTTTCTTTCAGGACAGAATAAAAATACCCACAATTTAGGAAATTTAATAGACGGCAGGGAATCAGGTCAGGACACGAAGGTGCTGGTTCCCTCCCCTGACCTACTTCGTGCGGTGGCGAGGAGCTGGAGCACTCGAGGGTGGGAGGATGAGGGATGAGGGGCACCTGGTTTCTCACGGGGCTGGGGCCTAGGGACTGGACAGTCGCGGACAGGTAGGGGATGGACACGGAGAGCTCATGAGGGAATTCCCCAGGAAGAGGGATACGCGCGGGAACAGAAGAAGTGTGGGCTGGAAGGGGGGGGTTCCCTGACACTGAGGCCAAAGACAGGAACTGAGAAGGGAAACAAGAACCAAAGCCCCCTAATCTCTCAGAATCTCAGTTCCTCCTTCCTCTGGATGCAGAGTCCCAGAAACGACCTCCTCCAGCCCTAAACGCTAATCCTTTACGATAGGAAAAGGCAAGGCCTGACTGTAAGTTCTTCCTGTTGTCTAATTCAAATCCCGACTCTCAAACCCGAATAGGCCGCCGCTTCCAGTTGCGGCTTCTTGCTGCCCTCTAGCGGTCAAGTGGGGAGCCGCGGTCTGTCTTACACGGTCTCTTTAAAGGCTCGGATTGAAAACAGCAGCTTGGAAATAATCCCAAGCAAGAGACGCGTAAATTTTTTTAAACGTAAGCCTCTGGAACTTGCGCACCCATCAGAATCACCTAGAGGGCTTATTAAAAATACAAATTTCTGAGCGCCACCTTCAGGTTTCTTAATTCAATAGTTCCGGGAAGCCGAGAATCTGCATTTCTAACACATTCCCAGGTGGTGGTGCTAGTCCGGGGACCACATTTTAAGATCCATCGCTTGAGAATTCTCGCTTCTTGCACTGTCTCGCGTCTTTGCTCTACCAATTGTGGTCTGCTCAAAAGAGAGAGGGCGAAAGCAATGTCAACACAAAATGGAGAAGGGAAAAAATGACACATGGAGACATGGACCTTTGTGGCCCAGTGAAAACAACTGGCCAGGGGGCACCCGGATTTGAACCGGGGACCTCTTGATCTGCAGTCAAATGCTCTACCACTGAGCTATACCCCCTCTGCTGACGTCTGGGCGCAGTAACCTCTTAGTCCTATGACTGCGCAGGCGCTGTGATGAGCTCGTGAAAAGAAGTCGTGTCCAATGTTTACAAAAGTTGGAAATAATATAATCTCAAAAAGATTACTCGCCTGAACGCAGAACTTGTTTCCCGAAGCTCTGAGCTTAAGATTTCTACTGAATGATGTAAGCAAAATGGAGTTTGGAAATGGGAGGGGAGATCCCTCGAGATCCTTCGTTTCGGGGACATTCCCTGCGCCGATGTCCCCCTGTCCTGCCCTGTCGGAGCCCCTTTATTGCCTCTTGGCTCCCCTCTCTCCGTCCTGCACGCTCGGGCAGGGTTCTCTGGGTCTCCTTTCCCCAGCGCAAGCCAGGACCTTAGGTCCTGGGCCTCTCTCCCCGGGCAGAGCCGTTGGGGTCGCTGGCCAGGCCTCCCTGATAGTGCACCGGCCTCCGCCCTACCACTTCGGAAGTGCGCGGTCTGGGCTGTCCACCTGGGGTTAACCAGCAGCTTCTCGCCCTCTCACTGTATCCCACCCACAGACGCACGCGCGGGCTGAGCGCACGGATCTGCTCGTCGCCTGCCTGCAAAACGGGGTGGCAGGCCCTGACATCGCATCTCGCATCCCCTCTCCCCTGCCGGTGCACTTTGAGGGATGGACTAGTGGATAAGAAAACACGAAAAATCTGACGTGGAGAGGGGGCACCCGGATTTGAACCGGGGACCTCTTGATCTGCAGTCAAATGCTCTACCACTGAGCTATACCCCCACCGTGCCGTTCACACTTTACTGGAATAGGTTTCTGTAGTATAAGGAGAAAATATTAAATTGTTTCGGTCCAACAGTTGTGTCAAAGTGACCTCATGAAAAGAACAGGTTGTGGACTAAATGGGGATAGCTAGAATTGCTGAGTTCTTTTTCCACCATTACACCTCAGGAAACCACAGGATTAAAGACTCCTGGACCTTCTATAACTGTGTCCAGACTGTCCCCAAGATGTCCAGTGCTGACTTGGGAAGGAGAGAAACCCATGGACTCCAGAACCATCTCAGGTCTTATGGCGTAAAAGCAGGGCTCCCTGTGTTCAGATGGACAGCGTGGGTTTCCATCCTGTCTCCAGCTCTACCTCCAGAGGACTCCTGGGCTTCTCCAAACCCCAAGGGCCCCTCCTCTCCGCCTCCACGAGTCAGCATCAAGCCACGCCCACCCCTAGATCCAGGTAGAGCCGAAAGCTCCCAGTCGCAGCAAGCCAGGAGTCAGTTACCTGGCAGAGGGTGGGAGAGACCAGGACCAAAGAACCAGCCAGTCCCCTAGACCAGTGGACACTTGAGGCAGTACCCCCTCCATTTCCCAGGAGAATTTCCACAGACCTGATGCCTTGTACAAAAAACAAAAGCCAGTTTGAAGCACAGGTAGCAGAAATGAGAAGTGAGCGGTCTTCAACAGCATTTATTACTCTTTTATAAAAATTCTAAAACAACTAAAAAATCGTTACAAAAGACAGCCAAGATAGGCATGCTGTAGGAATTGGAGACATCTGGGAGGTGTGGGATTCATACTGGAAGGACTGGAGGGCAAAGGATGGGATGGCTTAACTCTCAAAAGCTGTGGTCCGAGCCAGCATCTCAGAGGGAAGGGAAAGGCATGGGAGGAGTGGAACTCCCCGCAGTGCAAGGGACTGTCCCCGTCTGGGATGTCCCATCCTTCTTCCTCTCCCTTCCCACCAGTTTTTGGCTCTGTCTTCCTTCCCCTGCACCTGCCCCTTTTGCCTTTCTGGAATCTCCTTTGCTCAAAGATGGCAAAGGGGCCAGAAAACTGGGGTGGGAATCGAGGGATAGGAGGTGGAGTTCTAGGAAATAAAGAGCATTTCCAGGGGTCTCCTACTTTATCCCCCATTTTTTTCCCCTCAAAGAGGTTGCAGGCTGAGGGGACGGGGCTCTACTTCCCAATCCCTCAACACATCTAACGACTTGCCTGTGCCTCCAAAGACACATGCTTCCCCAGGGTGAAGGGCAGCTCTTCTGCTGTCCTGTCTGCAGCAGATCGTACAGGCAGTCTAGCCCTTCGGTGGCGGGATTAGGTCGGGTGGACTTCGGCAATCTCACTGTCCATAGCTGACCCAGCTCCCATCAGAGAACCGCAGAAAATAATCATCACTTGCGTTTTCCACCCAAACAGTCCAAGCAAAACCCCCCAGAGTTTCTGGTCGGCCTCAGGTCAGGACATCAGTTGGCAGTGGCCCGAGACTGCATCCACTGGAGCCCCGCGGGCAGCCTGCAGGGAAGATGGAAGAGTATATCCCACGGATCAGTATATCCCATGAGGATGGTGGCCTCCAAGTCGCCAGCCCCAACCCAGAGCCAATGAATTAGATGTAACAACCAAAGTTAAATCCCTTCTCTCCATCAACAAGTATAAACAGATTGAGTACCACTGCACATCAGGTCCTGGGCTAGGGGCCGGGGTTACTGGTGAAAACACAGACATGCCCTCTGGGGCCTACAGTCTAGCAGAGGAGATGGATGTGGATTGGAGGAGGGAATGGCAAGGACACTACCAGAAATGTATGGTTCCTTGGACCGACCTCCCTCCAGCCTCCAGACACCCGGGTCCCCAGCCTGCTGTGATCCCACTCGAGAAAGAGGAAAGAGAACTTTCCAAGACTGATGAGAGGCCCTTCCTATGTGACCTTCACATCCTTTGCAACATTTGCCCACATACTTTCAATCTCCCTTTCCCACTTGATCTTTTCCAAATACTTGCCACTTTTAACTTATTATAGCTTTTTCTTAATTTTATTGTTTATTGTTGGCTCTCTCCCACCAGAATGTACGCCCCATGAGGGGAGGGGTTTTGTATTTTGTTTGCTGCTGATTCTCGGTGCCTAGAAAAGTGCCTGGCCCAGAGTCAGTGCTCGATAAATGTTGAATGAATGAC